CTCTGGTCCGTTGCGTGTCCCCCCGGTAAATAAAAATAAAAAAAAAAAAAAAAAAAAAAAAAAAACACCAGAGAATTTCAGTCCCTATGCAAATCATCCAGCAGGTGTAATTACAGGAGCAGGGTGCATCAGTTCAGCTTTCTGATAGAAGCCCACGCTCTCTCCAGGGGCCACGTTCTGTCCACGATCGAGCCACAACTGCAATGCGAAAAGCAAAGTGCCTGAGCCTCGGAGAGGCTGGTAACCTGACAGCCCGTGCCAGAGCACGGGGGCACCAGCGGCCTCCTGAAGCTTCTGTTATGTTTCAGGCAGGTGCCAAGAGGAGTCAGAGCAGTAGCAACGGCACTTCGATGACGCAAAGAACGTGAGAAATAGGTTTCTGCGGTACGACAGGCAGCAGGGCCCTAGCAGACCCCTGTTGTCAATGGAGGTGATAGCATGTACAGGCCAGGAGTCAGGACGCAACACCCAGGTGGCCCTGGGCCCTGGGGACGGAGTGGAGAGCCTGGAGCTTCCCTCCCTGGGCAGAGCGCCCACACCCCCGCGTGGCATTCCAGAAGGATGAAGTTCAAGGACAAGCGAACATCTGTGACCAGAGACGTCTACCTGGTCCCCCTGGAGGTGGTTCTAAGTTGGAAAGTGGCCAAGAGAGGCTCTCCCGCACCTCACACGGCGGGATGGAGCAGTGTGCATGAACAAGGCTTCATCAGGCTGCCGGAAGGTCTGCTTCACTGTACAGGACAGCCCCGAGATGGTTTCGGGGTGGGGTTTTTGTTTGTTTTTAAGGATAACATGGGAAAGTAAGAACAGGAAAGTAAGAATATGTGGTAAGTAGTGAGTTTGAAACAGCACAGCAGGAAGTGTGGTCATACTCATTAATGAGAATGTAACAACTGCAGCGGGTCCAAGTGCATAGGGGGACTCTGAGCCCTCAGGGAGACTCTGAGCCTGTAGGGGGACCCTGAGCCCACAGGGGGACCTCGAGCCCATAGGGGAACTATGAGCCCACAGGGGGACCCTGAGCCCATAGGGGGACCCTGAGCCCGTAAGGGGACTCTGAGCCCACAGGGGGACTCTGAGCCTGTAGGGGGACCCTGAGCCCACAGGGGGACCTCGAGCCCATAGGGGAACTATGAGCCCACAGGGGGACCCTGAGCCCATAGGGGGACCCTGAGCCCGTAAGGGGACTCTGAGCCCACAGGGGGACTCTGAGCCTGTAGGAGAACTCTGAGCCCACAGGGAAACCCTGAGCCCACAGGGGAACCTGAGCCCACAGGAGAACCCTGAGCCCATAGGGGGACTCCGAGCCCGTAGGGGGACCCTGAGCCTGTAGGGACCCTGAGCCCATACGGGGACCCTGAGCCCACAGGAGAACCCTGAGCCCACGGGGGGACTCTGAGTCTGTAGGACAGGCAGTGGCAGTGTCGGCTGAAGGCAGAGATGAATGTTTGGGTGCACGGTTCCCCGAGAAGGTTAAAAGGGCTTGATGACCCTGTGTGCGATGCTGACAGAATGGCTTTCCCCTTGAGAAGTTAAACAAAAGTCTGTCAACTGCAAATCATTCAGAAGAGAGCCACCCCAGGGATCTTAAATGACTGAACTGTAAATGCTGACTCTGTGAAATGTAAATTAAGACCGAAGACCGGCTACAGCAGTGGCAGAAACCCAGCCAGGAGCCCCAGGAGTGGAAAGGGCCATTTCTCAGGCACGGCGTCCGGGACGGGGCCGCTGTGCCTCGCCGACCCACGGCCTCTGCAGAAATGACTCAGCCTTTGACTCCGGTTTCCCTAAGCGGGATGGGACGTCCACGTCTCTGCCAACACGCTCCTGCCTGATTGCTGCCTCAGCACCGAGCCTGCAGTGTGGACCCGGCAGGGCCCGCCCCGGACCCACAGGCC